GGGGGGGTTTTGTTATACAGTTTTTTTTTGGGGGGGGTTTTGTTATACAGTTTTTTTTTGGGGGGGGTTTTGTTATACAGTTTTTTTTTGGGGGGGGTTTTGTTATACAGTTTTTTGTTGGGGGGGGTTTTGTAATATATTGTTGTCTTGTGTGTGTGTAAGGGGGGGGGAGGGCTTTATATAGTCTTTTTTTTTGTCTAATACAGTTTTGTTTGGGGGGGCGCTCATCTTTTAATATATGTGTATTATTTTGAGGGGAGTTACTGTTTTTAAACAATGCGCGAGGTAATTTTTGAGTCAATCAGGTACTCTAGTATTATTTTTTTTTTTGGATATCTAGTTATGCTAAATATTCTGTCCTTGCGCAAGTTACAGTACTTTCTGATGTATACACCAGTGTGCTCTCTTAACCATGTGCTGCTTACAATATGACTGGGTCAATTCCTTATCCATAATGTTCAAAACTCTCAATATGCTTGGTCGAGGAAGCCCTGTTTATGTCTGTGACAACGGATGTAATTTGGCCGTTTTTGTTTTCTTGTGTACTCTTTTAGTGTTTAGTTGTACTTTTCGTAATTCTGTTTTTGTTATATTTCTTTTCCTTATTAGCTTCCTATTTATACTTAAATTAAAATGTCCCACATGTTTTCTTTTTACATCCGAATCGTTGATTGCACGCTTGGGACAAGATAATGTTTTGTTCTTTACATCTGTATTTTTGGCGCAGGTTTCATCCGTTGCTGCTATTTTTTCCTTAAGGGAATCACCTGCTCCACCATTTTTGGAAATATTTGTGTCGAAGGTCGTGTTGTTCTCTCCTGTGGTGTTATTATTGTTACTGTCTTTACTTTCGTCAGATTCTTTATTTTCCTTAATTTCGCAACTTCCTTCAGTTTCAGTCTTAACTTCATTTGTGTTTTCTGGAAGTTCGATTTCGTCCTCTTCACATGTGCGTCTTTTCTTGAATACGATCCAATCGTTACTGTCTTCTAGCGCACTGGCCATTTTGGTATGGACCCTTTTGCTTGGTAATTTTATTGAAGCGGCTGCATTAACATTTGTTCCCAAATCAGATTTTGTTCGTTCAACATAGCACTTGATTTCTAATATGATCTTTGGTTCTTCCTCGACTTTGGCTACTTCCTCGACTTTGGCTACTTCCTCGACTGTGGCTACTTCCTCAACTTTGGCTATGTCCTCCATTTTGGCTTTTTTCTCAACAGTTGGCCCTTGCACCAATTTTCTTCTGATCTTCCTAGTACGTGCAGGTATTGTTTCCGTAACACTGCTGCCTTTGTCCTGTGCTGTCTCTGCTTGTTCTCGCATGGCTCTTTTTTTGCTCTTCTTGGAACCAACTACCATTTCTTGCTTGATATTTGCCAATACAGCTGCCTGCGCTTTCTTTGCTTCCTTTGCCTCCTTAGCCGTAACCGCTTCTTTTGCCAATACAGCTGCCT